TAAATAAAGACAATTTGATTCGCTTGTCGTCATATGTAATTTTAAACACCGAGTGTACGTACTACCTTCAAGTTTAAGCAGACCGCTGAGACAAGACAGCTAAGTGCAACGTGGCTCTTAGCGTGAGACATTAATAAATCGTATGAACGTCAGTGGGGCCAAGCTAAATCACTCTCACCTGCATTGTTATACCGTACAGCCATAAATTAGCGTAAGATGAAAGGAGGGAAGGGTATGGATGCAAAGAAACCGGATCAGCTCGGGGAATGTAGGGAAACCAAGAGACCCGGGACTTTACTAATGAGCAACGTGTCTCTACTTCTCGTCCCCATCCAATTACAGATATCGGGATGTTTGATCGAATCTTCTGAGGCGATCAGCCGTGTCAATTCCTTTTGGAGACACTCTGTCTTCATCCATAATCATTTCCTGATGATGGAGTCAGTGACAACCTCCGAAACGTTTTACTTCTGCTACGAATTGACAAGGCTGATCGACCGAGAAGATTTGATTACTTTCAGTTGCCTTTATCAGAAATGCTTCAGTCCGATCTGAGCCACTCTGTTCAGGTTTATAGCAGTGCTTGATCATTACACAGCTTATTAAGTTAGACATTGCCAGTGTCTGACGTTTATGTAATAATGCGAGTTTCGGGAGTTGGCCCTGATAGACATACGTGTGTGTCTGTTTATTATATGCTGTAGTAGTGTCCGAGAAACGTAAACACGATGTAGGCATGAAGAAAGCGGTCTTCTGGGATTTGGAACCGTGTATATGTGGTGTTAACCGACGTTTCGGAGGAACGTATCGCCTCCACCTCCTGGGTAGAAGGAAAAATATAAGAAATCCGCCAGCGAAGAGACCGTGAGAACCGGTAAAAGCAGACTGGTCTGCTTTTACCGGTTTTCACGGTCTCTTCGCTTGCAGATTTCTTATATTTTTTCTTCTGCCTTGAAGATGGAGGCGATACGTTCTTCCGAAACGTCGGTTAACACCACATATACACGGTGCCAAATCCCAGAAGACTTCTTTCTTCATAGTCACCGCCGTGAAAGTCTCAAATCTTACGATGTAGGCGTATTTGAAATACAATTAATGTCCTGACACTACACAAAATGAATACAATGTAAATACGATTTACAACTACGACAAAAACAATAACAGCTACAATAAAATAAATTAATACTAATAAAAAATAAGTATGCTATGCACTAAACAGTAACAGTAATGGAATACATAATGACATGTTATGACGCATCCACATTTCAGCACTCTTTGAAGAGAGCACATATGCGAGCTATCTCTCTGCGCTCTGTGTAGGTTTCCCAATTCGAATCATTTCTATGATGTGCTGTCATCTTTTGCACCCGGTGTAGTGCATTTATCTGCCCATTCCTGTAAGGATCCCAGCACGCCGCACTAGTGATGTGTAGGCTAAACTTTTAGTGTTAGCTTTTCTGTTGTTAAGAATACGCATTGTAAAATGAAGTGCCTTCCAAGCTTTATTCACCGTCTAATTAACTCGATCACCCCAACTTAAATCGCCCGCATAAAATTATTCCCAAGTATTAACAACTGATTTATAATCGTCTTCGTTTTCGATAGGAGCCAGGGTAGCTCAATCGGTATATCCCTTGGCTACGGGCTGGACGACCGAGGGGTCGGATTTCGAGTCCCTGTAGGGTCAGGAATTTCCTCTTCTCCACGTCCTCCAGACCGTCTCTGGGGTCCACACAACCTATCGAATGTGTACCGGGGACACTTTCCGCGGAGGTAAAGCGGCCGGAGCGTGAAGCTGACCACTCGCCTCCAGCTAGTGCCGAGGTCAAGAAAATGTGGATCTATACATCCACTCCACCATACGCCTTCATGATGTAATGCTTAATTAGTTAAGCACAAGGACAACTTTACCTTTTTACCTTTACTGCTGTTCGATTCTGCATAAGCTGTGAACTCGACAAAGTGTCGTTAAATGACTAAGTCAAACTCATGGTTCAGTTCTGTTACTGATGTTTTTTTATTTCTCTCAGAGCCTATTGTAATTCTGCTTCTTAACCGAAATACATTTGTACGTGGTGATGATTTTCGGAACAATGCAGGTATGAAGGTAACATGAAGCAATATGTATGTTTGTTGTCTCATCTTCTCTCGTTTTGTTGTCTTTGTCCTTTTCTCCGCCTGCTGTTATTTCTTGTATTCATTTTCTTTTCCCTATTCTTCCCTCGTGTTTCCCCATTTTCTCACTTTCCATTTTTCTTCATATCCTTACCCACACACTTCTCTTCTTGGCCTCTCTTTTCATCCTCTTATTTTATTTTATTTTTTTTTCCATGCACGCTTCCTAATTCTCCATTGTCCTGACCCGCTTACTTGTGCGTTCAGAACCTGAAAGGAAGGTTAAGATACTAGTGTCGGCTGGGCGCGTGACTTATTGCCTGAAATACTTGGGCGTAGGTGATTTTGGTAAAGGTTCATGCGGTCGAGGGTCTTGAGAAATTAATCGAGGTATAATGATTGTATTGGGGTGAGGCGGAGGTGAGATGTGTGAAAGATTAATTAACACAGACTCCCACATTCAGTATCCAGATATAAATCACAGTAGCCACGTTGTTAATATGCTCCCGGCCTGGTAACTACGCACATCTGATTAGCATTCTGTGATTACCACGTGATGTCCCTGTCACCGAGTTCTATATGCACCGTCATGCAGCGATAGCTATCTGCACAAACGTGTTAAAGAATTCGCTCCATCACACGTCTTTTTAAAATAGTGCGTGACATTGAAAAATTGATTGTGTTCAGACTTTGTTATGAACTGTCCACCAGAACGAGCTATGTATTTCACAATTTTTCTGTTGATATTTGATACGCTTGTAAATGAGGCCTTTATAAACAGATCCCCTTTCCTAAGGCTGTACAAGCTTTGTCGAATTATTAACACGATACAACGTATCAAGAACAGTATAGGAAGCATACATACACGTAGGTCCGAGTACAACATAGCTGTCACTCGCTTGTTGACGTAGGTGTCGTAGAACTGGTGGTCCAAAAAATGAGTTGTAATAATTTCGTAAAATATTTCTAGTTTCTTTGACAGCCTCTGTGATCTAGTGGTCAGAGTTCCTACTACAGATACAGAGGTCCCGGGTTCGATTCCCGGCGCTTCCAGATTTTCTGAGATGTAGTGAGTCTGTTACGGGGTCCACTCAGACTCATGAGGATAATTGAGGAGCTATTTCAAGGAAATAGCGACTCCGGTCTAGAAACCCGAGATTTACGGCTGTGGGGATCCGTCGCTCTGACCACGCGACACACACTATCCGCTAAAGTTGGCACTAACTTCGCTGACAAACGGCGGTCGCTCGGTCGGTATAGTTCGCTTGCGGACTGCAAACCATGGAGATTTTTTATTTCTAGTTTATTTGCAATGCTATTTAATAGTTTCCTCAGATTCGGAACCATAATGGAGAGTTGCATGTGGTCTTCAGAGGGCCTTTCTATTAGTCTTGCCATTTCGTTCATTCATTCATTCGTCAATGGCTCTACAGCCCTTTGTTGGACCTGGACTCTTTTTCAATTTCGTAATCTTTTTTGCCCAGACGGTAGGACTCCTTGGATGGGGGCTCTGCCTACACACAGGGCAACACAAACAGAACAAATGTTCACAGACTCCATGCCTGGATTGGGATTCGAACTCACGATCCCAGCGTTCGAGCGATTGAAGACGATTCATGCCTTAGATCCCGCGGCCACTGTGATCGGCGTCTTTTGGTTCACTGACTCAATATCACAGACACTAATTAATCGATTTTTCGAACTCGGCATGGATATCTTGCTACTGGAGGTCATCTCTCATTGATGTTCCTGTAAATGAATGCGTATAATATCCCTTCTTACTGGTTTTTCTACAAAGTATAAATGAACACAATGATGAGGTGGTTCTTCTGTCCATACTCGTATGTTTCATCTCTGTATCTACTATATTGGATTTTCGTTAAAATTGGTACTCGGGAATCTGCATTAAAACTTGTGGAACGAATGAAATTTTGGGCTCATATCGGTCTGATACAATATGTCCGTTAAGTTCCTTTATAGTTTGTTATTGTACAAATCATTTGTTGATTTGTCGGTAGGTCGAGGCTTGTGAAATTATCGTTCGAAATTTCCCGCAGTACCTAGTCGAAGACAGTGATTTGTGAAATGTTGTAACAAGTTGTATAAAGGACCAGTAAATTCGATTATCAAATCCAAAACCCGTTTATAAATCACGTAAACCCCTAATACGTGACAATATACGTAGTATAAACAATAATGAAAATCCCTTTCGTTCTATTTCCCCATCTATTTTTAGCGTAATATACGTTCTTGCAAAGCTATAGTTATATATGATGTCATGCTTTTATTAAGGAGCCGTTCTGGCAAATTTCGAAAGTCCATACTTGTCCACATATAAATATAACTCGCAGATGACAGTACCTTCCACGCGTGTCTTAGTAGTCTTGTCACTAGGCAGAATTTACGATTATGAGACGAAGAAAATCCTAATGCCATTCAAAAAGTACCTTTACACGGTATTAAATCAGTGGTGTGGTGTGGTATGTCGTGGTGTGCTGTATTGTAACTACGAGGCGAATTATTCCCTTCAGAACTTCAGGATATATCGCAGAACTCATATAGGTCCTGCGAGGAATGCTTGAAGACAGACGGCGATCAGTTCTAGTAGTCGTAAAGTATAGTAAGTCTGTTTCGCCCCTCTGCAGAAATCAGTAATGATCTATTGTAGTGAAGAGTCAGCACCCAGTGCGCGGGAAACCACTGCGCAGACTCCTTTGTTGTCACGCAGTTTCTGATCTATTGTAGTGAAGAGTCGGCACCCAGTGCGCGGGAAACCACTGCGCAGGCTCCTTTGTTGTCACGCAGTTTCGCAGGCCTCAGTTTAGAGTCTCCATTGAACGCTCTGTATTAGATTTTCATTGTTTTTTCTCTTATTTATGTTACAGCATTTGAAACAGCCAGAGGGCACAAGATCGAAAGACGACCATATATACAGGACATTGTGTCTGGGAGAAGCGTAGAACAGATGAGTACGCAGCTCTATCAGAAGCTTTTTGGAAGTGACAGACCAAGGCGCAGGCGTGAAGTTCCTTACTTTCGTGCCGACCAAAGCAGTGAATGTTATAGGGAGCATCACCCTGGCTCATCTCAGCTTCCAGCTTTGCCAAAGATCCGCCATGCGAGCTTTGTCTTCGAATCTCCACTCGCCAGTTTGTATAATGATGACGTTAGCAACCGCAATTCCAGACGTAATGGACCGTCGAAAAGTGATCAAACTTTTAAACGGCATGAATGGCGTAGTCATCGTTGGGACTCGCCCACTCAACGCGATGGAAACGGGAAAAACCACATCTTAGGCCGACAGCCCTCATACAAATCCCAGACTCGGAATGAGAGTGGATTTGAGGCACCGAGAGACCGTGGCCAATTTCATAGTAGTTCCACACACCGGAATGGAAGCAACAAAATTTATGAATGCAGAGAACCAAAAGCTTTTAGTGGTAATGATGGGAGGAAGGGAAGGCATGGAAAGTATGGCGGAAGAAAACGTTCCGAAAGCGGTGTTATCAATGAATAAGACACTGTGGCATTTTCTGTGAATCTCCTTATTCAGAAAGCATATCCTCTGCCTCTTGGTGATAATCTTATGGAATGTGCCGCATACAAATCATGCTTAATAAAAATTGTATTATATATTATTTTGAGTTTTAAATTGTTATTCTTTTGTGAAAATGTGTTATCAAGTGAATAATTTACTAAAATATAAGACGTGTAAGATTTGAGGTTTTTACGGCGGTGTCTGTGAAGAATGCTCCGTCTTCTGGGATGTGACGCCATGTAGATAATTTGTTAACCGACGTTTCGGAGGAACGTATCATCTCCATATTTAGGGTATAAGAAATCCGCGACCGATGAACCATCGTGAGCAGGTGTCTATAATATGGAGGCGATACGTTCCTCCGAAACGTCGGTTAAAGTATCTACGCTGCACCACGTCCGAGTAGAGGCATTCTTCAAAATACTCGTATGACGTGTTTCACCTTTTGCCTTATAAATTAGTTTGGAAAATTGTGTTGTTCTGCATGTTGTTCGACATAAATTAATGTCGAACTGCCATTCCCCTTGTAAATTTTGAACAGATGTTTGACCATACGCATACAACAGCTGAAGGATCAGCAACAAAACAGTCTAATTTGAAGGGGTTGAACAGCTTACAGATTCCTTCCTTATTTCCTCTCATAGACCACAAAGAAATGTACGTGTAAATCTTACTGTGACCCTGTTATTTTTACTATCAAATAAAATTTTATAGGATGATGGGCTAAATATTTTTTTTTCCTTGGCACTATGGCCCCAGTGGGCCTAGGCCTACCTCCATGAACTTCTCCGTTCACTTCGGTTAGGGCTGAATAATAATACTGAAAATTTACATTCAGTTACAGTGGATTATGTCAGTAATCAGAAGCGTTCGTTTTGACTTCATTTCAGCCAAATCCCTAAAAACTTTGTAATTGTTTTAACTTATGTGTAAGGCCTATATTGTATGATGTTGGCTCCCGTTAAAGAGAATTCCTTTTAAGATATATCTTCAGTTTTTTTCTTGTATATTTTACATATTTAAGCTATGTTTCTCGTTTACAGAATGGAGCTATTCCAACATCGGTTTATCAAACTGTCTTAGCCCTACAGTGTAATTTACACATGAACATTGTGCGTAGTGATATTTGTTTCAAACAGTCTGAATTATGTGGTCTTTATGCTATAGATTGGATATGGTGTGAAGGTTTTTACAGAAAATAAAGAAAATCTTATATACTCGGGCTCTTTATAATCTTGGTTGATTCTAAATTTTGTGGATCATTTTCCTACCATTATGATATAGCAGAATGAGACTTGTAACATATTGCCGCAACATCTTGGTGGAACACCTCAACTTATAACCATAAACAAACAAACTCCGTGCCTTGTAGTCCACAAGCGAACTATACCGACCGAGCGACCCCCGCTTCTCTGCGAAGTTAGTGCCAACTTTTGAGGATAGAGGGTGTCGGGTGGTCAGCGTAACGGATCCCCACGGCTGCTAATCTCGGTTTTATATACCAGAGCCGCTATTTCGTTGAAGTAACTCCTCAATTATCCTCACTGGGCTGAGTGTGACCCCATTCCAGACCCACTAATTATCATAAAATATTTCTCAGAATAAATCTGGTAGCACCGGGAATCGAACCCGGAACTCTGACTACTAGACCACAGTGGCGGTCTTATAAACATCTCTCATCTTATATGCTTAAAAATAATATAAAATAAAATTCAGTCACAGTAACCCCCAGAATGTAGACATCAGAGTGGTTATTACGAAGTACCGAATTCTTGAACTTTTTTCACGGATCAGATCCGTTCTTGGGAAGCTGATGGCGGGTCATTTGGTCGAGAAAGTCCTTGTGCCTTATGGAACCCAAACGTTCGTAACTGTCACCTCAGTAACATAACATTGGACCGTACCCGAGCCACTTAAGTCCGTATCCTCACTCCATACTTCTATAAAATCCACTTAGTAATGTCTTCCCACGTACACCTAAACGTCCCAAGTTGTCTCTCCTCTTCAGTTTTCCGCCTTAATTGTTGTAAGTACAAGAATCTCGCATTTCTCCATGCAAGCTACGTACATACCCGACCCTTCTCATCCTCCTTAATTGTCACCACAATAATGTCTGATCAAGAGTACAGGGTGCCCGCGGCAGGCAAGAATGTGCATACAACCTCGTGAAGGAACTGTATGAAGAAAAAGCAGTGGCCTAGAATAGAATCCCATACCAGAAGTAGAATGACCACAGTATTTTACGAATTTACGCCTTAATCTTAAGGAAAAGGAAGAAAGTTGGTACATGAAGGATCAAAATAAGGCTGATGATTTAATAAACTGTAGGAGGCAGAAATTGCATGATCAGTGGAAGGAGTCTATTATTGTACCAGTTCACAAGAAGGATGAAAAAACTGACTGTAGTAATTATTGGGGGGATATCACTGCTATCAACTTCATACAAAATGTTATCCAATATTCTTCTCTCAAGGTTAAGTAGATATATAGGTGAAATTATTGGGGATCACCAGTGTGGGTTTCTACGTAACAGATCAACTACAGATCAGATCTTTTGCATTCGTCAGATATTGGAGAAAAATTGGGAGTACAGTGAAACAGTACATCAGCTATTCATAGACTTGAAGAAAGCCTACGATTCAGTTAGGAAGTATTGTACAATATTCTGATAGAGTTTGGGATACCTATGAAATTGGTTAGGTTGATTAAAATGTGTTTAAACGAAACGTATAGTAAAGTCCGTGTAGGTAAAACATTTGTCTGATAAATTTCCTGTCCAGAATGGTCTAAAACAAGGATATGCTTTATCGCCACTACTTTTCAACTTTGCCTTAGAATATGCAATTAGGAAGGAGCAGGGAAACTAAATGGGACACATCAGCTGTTGGTCTACGCCGATGATGTAAATCTACTGGGTGATAATGTAGATAGCATAAAGAAAAACACACAAACTTTAATTGATGCAAGTAAAGAGGTTGGTCTAGAAGTAAACACAGAGAAAACTAAGTATATGTTACTGTCTCGTCACCAAAATGCAGGGAAAAATCATGACATAAAGATAGGAAACAGATGTTTTGAAAATGTGGCACAGTTCAGATATTTGGGAACAACGATAACAGATCGAAACCTGATTCAGGAGGAAATTAAGAGGCGATTGAACTCGGGTAATGCCTGCTACCATTCAGTCCAGAACCTTTTGTCTTCTCGTCTGTTGTCCAAAAATATAAAAATTAGAATATACAAAACTATAATTTTGCCTGTGGTTCTGTATGGGTGTGAAACTTGGTCTCTGACATTAAGGGAAGAACATAGTCTGAGGATGTTTGAGAACAAGGTGCTAAGGAGAATATTTTGACTGAAGAGAGGTGAAGTGACAGGAGGTTGGAGAAAACTGCATAATGAGGAGTTTCATAACTTGTACTCTTCTCCAAGTATAATTAGAATGATCAAGTCAAGGAGGATGAGGTGGGCAGGTCATGTAGCACGAATGGGGGAGTCGAGGAATGCATATAGGATATTGGTGGGAAAGCCAGAAGGAAAGAGACCACTTGGAAGACCAAGGTATAGGTGGGTGGACAACATTATAATGGGTCTCAGAGGGATAGCATAGGATGGTATGGATTGGATTGTTCTGGCTCAGGACAGGGACCAATGGAGGGCAGTTGTGAACGTGGTAATGAACCTTCGGGTTCCATAAAATGCTAGGAAGCTCTTTAGAAGCTTCAGAATTAGCGGCTCCTCGAGAAGGGCTCAGCTCAATGAGTAAGTAAGTAAGTCATGAGTGTTACGAAATTAACCGTGCAATTTCTTTATTAAAATCCATCACAAACCAACAATATGAAAGTCAAGGCCAAGATTGGCTGGGCTACATGTTCCGGCTATTAAAGCCATCATCAGAAAAATACATTATTAACATATTCACACCACTGGACTGCAATTGCGATAGTGAAGCTGGATTTTAATAAAGAAATTATATATTATAACACAAAAGGATGCACGGAATAAAAAAATTAACCGTCTTATACAATAAATGGTGTACACTATGTATCTCGGTTGTCTGTCTCTTTCAAACAGCAGCGTTGCAAATAAAGCTCTGTTCCTTGAAGCGGTGTGTGGTGTTACCTACGAAATTAAGACTTGCCTACTCAGCTCATTTGTACCTACTAATTATGTACTGCTGTCCCACTTCCACATGCGTCTCTGTGGGGTGGAGCTTGATTAATTAAGCACAGGGACGACATTAACTTAATTGCAGAATTAGCTGAGTTTCTCCTAATGAGATTATTTGAAAGGCCTAAGCTGTGGTTAAGTTTTATATTTTAATAATTTTTTTCATATGATTTGGAAATATTCCTTTTTTTATATATAATGGCAATGAGGTTTGGAGGGAGTTGAGTGTTTTGCGTAGTGATAAACAAATAAGACTTGAGGTGTAAATTATGATGTTGTATTAAACTGAAAGTTATATGCTTATTTTTCAGAATGGGCTAAAGTTTTATGATTATTAATAATGATGATAATTAATAAGGTCAATATAGCGATATATTTTGCTTTTCTAGTTTTTATGGAGTGAAAAGTGGTTTTAATGGAATGATTCTGTTTTTAATGCCAAGGATTAATTCTGGCAACGGCGTGATTCATTACTTCCTTACTTATTCCTTGTCTGTACGTTCCTCCAATAACCTTGGCCTCATTTACAATTGATTTTCTTTTTTTATTATTTGTGAACTGATTTATAGTGCACCAGATCTAATGTTATACATATGTTGAGCATCAGGCTCACTTAGAATTGCTACGTCTCATTGTAATTTGTTTGTAAAAACGTTTAAGGGGATTTCATATGTCACTGAGTAAATTCTAAGCTAACATGTTTTTATGAACCACAGGAATACTTTGCGGTTTCTGCAAAAAAGAAATGGAACGAAACAAGTAAGAAGAGAGTATATTGAACACGTGAAAATTTTCAACGTATAATTTACTGTTTAATGTAGTTAAAAGAAAGAAATATAAAATAAATAAGTATGAATCAGAGAAATGGTTGATTTTTTGAGGAAAGTACATTGAAATATATGAAATATTTCAGTAAATAATTTACTATGAAATATAATCGGAAAGATGAATAGAAGAAGGTCATATCCCCTCTCCCACCCAAGAACTCAGACGGTAGAATGTAATTTCATTCAACTTTGTAAGGATTTAGATTCTCACGATAAAGTGTGTAAATGTATGGCTTGCTTATTAAGTCAGATTGGTGTTGAGTTTGTTGGATGTAGTTTGAAGACCTTCATAGTTACTCGTTCTCTCGGATTTTTTTAGTTTTTTTCAATTGTTATGTTAAATTACTGATACTGACAGAGGATTAGACCATCAGAATGACTCTGCAAGATAAACTACAGCAATGTCTGATCCTTCTTCCTTGGTCTAAACAATATTCGAACCGCGATCACTGTGTTTGAGAGGTCCAAGTCCTTCCGGACACCATGAACAACTGGAGAATGCGGTGGATAACAAATATATTGTCTCGACCCGGACGTGAAGTTTTGTCATGGACACTCGTCTTCCACGCAGTATAAACAGTGTCATGAGATCAGCGAATGCATAAATATAAATGCTGGGACAAAGTGTAAATACGCAAAACATGGTTTGACATGATCACCCGAAAGAATTGCGACAAGACCCGCCAAGTGCTTGTAGGAAGTTGCTGGGACACAGGCAGAACTTCTGAAACAACTGTTAACTGCTCGGTAGAAGCAGTGCTTATTCCCATTCAACTTGTTTTCGTTTTCCGAACGATGTTACACAATATAAAAGTTTAGTCACTGTTAGGATTGTGCCCCAATTTTGTGACCCTCTTCCCACTTCTTTTAAGAGTTGGAGGGAGCGTCTGAAATGCTGAACTTTCTGTTCAGGAAAGAAGACTACACGTGCTCAGTGATTTAAGACACTGCTTTCTTTCGTTTTCCGTTGTCTAAAGACTTGTTTGAATCCCAGGCTGTGTGTGTCTGTGCCTAACAACGTTTTTACTGGGCTTTAATTAATTAAGCACCACGCCATGAAGACGTGTGGGGAAGTGGAAGTGTAGATCCACCAGTCAACCTCAGCTTAAAGCTCCTGCCGCTTTACTACCTAGAAAGCAGCCCATACTTCCCATTGTATAGGAGGCTGGGTGGCCCCGGAGCCGGTCCAGACATTATGGAGAATAGAAAAATCTCTTGAT